CAACTCTTTAGTCAGATGAGGAAGAGAGAGAATTTAGCAGCGATTTCTTTGGAAAAACTCTATCAAACCTTCAATGGTGGATCTGGTCTAATGAGGAAGAAAGAGAGAAATGTCGGCGATTGTTTGGGAAAACTTCTATCATTCCTTCAACAATGTTTCAATCTGGTCCGATGAGAACGTGAGAGAGCAGAATCCGGCGATTGCTGGTGAAAACTCCGGTCATTATCCGGCGACATTAATGTCCGACGAGGGATTGGGAGAAAGTGGAGGTCAAGAGGGTGGAAATCGCCGGCGAGTGCTCCGGAATCGGGGGCAACGAGTTCGGATCCGACGGCGGAGCGTTCTCCTTGGAGCCCTTCTGCTTCCGCGACGGCCGGGGCTTGGCGCGTTCTCCTTGGAGCCCCTCTGCTTCCGCGACGGCTGGGGTTTGACCGCGCTAGGGTTGGGCAAGGCCAGAGACTCTATCGTCGTGGGCTTGGCGCGTTCTCCTTGGAGCCCCTCTGCTTCCGCGACGGCTGGGGTTTGACCGCGCTAGGGTTGGGCAAGGCCAGAGACTCTATCGTCGTCTCCCTCAAGATTGCGTTTCTTTGCTGCATGAAGTGCTTCATGGCCGTGAGATCTATAGAGAGAAAGAGAGAAGAAATGGAGGAGAGAGAGAGGAACAGAAAGAGATTGAAAAGACAGCGACAAGAGAGGGAAAACGTACCGTTGGAGAAGGGAGACTGTTTTCCTTGATAGCGCCGCCTTTTTTTATGATTGTTTGTTTGTTAGTGTTATTACTCATATGCTAAAATACCTATCAAGTTTTTCATATAATATATATATATATATATAGAAAATGTCGTCCACAGGCATACTGATCCGGTAAAAGATATTATACAAGATTTATATTGTATTGTATAATTACTATATATAAATATACAAGATATATGATGAATTATATAACTTATCATATAACTTATACATCTTTATAATTGTACAACTTTCATATGCTAAATTGTACAAGATATATATTGAATTGTACAACGTGTAAATATACAAGATTTATACTTAGTTGTACATCTTTACATGTAAATATACACAATTTATATTGAATTATACAACTATCGTTTTAATCCAACAAATAATAAGTGCCGGTTTAAAGACTTTGCCTATATATATATATATATCAATGAGATTTTCATTTTAATTTTTAAATTGAGACTCTTCCTATAACTTCTTTAACTTCTTTATGGTGATCTTTCACTAATTAATTTTTTTCCCATAAAAAAAAAACTCGATCACAGGATTAAGAACAGAAAGACATCCTACAATGCGAAGATGATAGACTATTCAGATAATAAAAACATAAATGATGAACAATCGATTCGACTAAGAAGCAAAATATTATACCTAAATAAGAAACAAACGAAAATAGCAAACTCAGTGGGGGAGACCACTTTTGAGAACCCACAAGAATCTACAAATCATAGCTCATGTTTATTTCATAGGTTCGAATTACTCAATGTTCTCTCACAAAATTTAAATTCCTATTAAAATTTTTATGTTTAAATCTATAAACCAAACGGGCTTATATATATGGGTGATAAATCGTATGATAAACAAGAATCTATCAATATTAGACCATTCCAAATTCAATAACCAGTCAAAAAGGGAGAAAAGTTTGAAATTTCTCCTTCTATCTCAACAGCTATGTCCGCCATGCACTAATGCTCCCACCAGTATGCTCGCTACCACGAGACGTCGAGGTGGAGATTTTCGTTGGCAATATCGCAATCATGAAGATCGTTGCTTGTGATGATGAATATTGCTAAAAAACCACTATGAATTGAATTGTAGAGGCAATTTACTGTCGTAGGGACCACAACGATCTCACCGCGTTTGGATCGCATGTTGCAGCGACTATTATTTGATGTACGGCGACGACAGGTCTGGAGAACAACGACACAAGATCGGCTTTGGAGATCTTCGCGAGCTAGTGAGATGGAGATTGAATTAGAGGCCTTGCTCTGCTCCATCAGACCTGGCTCTTCATTTTGCATGTGGAGATGGTGAAGATTGAGGAAATAACGAAGTTTTTCTTTAAGTACACCGGTCATTTGATTAATTTTTTAAAAAAAAATCGACTAGTTTATCATACCACCTCCTTAAAAAAAAAAACAAAGCGCTCTTTACCTCACCCAATTTCCCTGGGACGAATCAAAAGTTGTTACACGTTTGGTTCATGGATTAGAATCATGAAATTAGAATTATTTTTTATTTACGCGTATTTTTTGTGAGAGAAAACACTGTAGCGAACCATGAATCATGATTCGAATCAGGGTACGAATCTCCTTACCAAACGTCCCCATATGGCATTTGTGAGTGAAGTTCTCATTTTTCTTTTTAACCCCAGCAACAAAAAAAAAATTAGGAACAAGGATTAATTACAAAAATTCCTCCTGAATTATGACTCGTATAACATTTTACCCCCCAAATTTTAAAATGTAACACATGTTCTCCTAAATTATGAATTGTTAACAAAAATGCTCTTTCTATTAGTGTTTTTTACGGAATCGCCACATGTCACACAAATATTAATTATTGCTAAACAGTTTGGTGCACAATTATTCTGCTACTCATATTCTTAGATTTACATTTTTTGAAAATAAATTTTAATTTTAATTTAATATGATAAAATCTCAAATAGGATTAATTACAAAAAATTCTCATGAATTATATTCCTTATAACACTTTACCCCCGGTGTTTAAAACGTAACATTCTATTTCCTCTGAACAATGAAAGTTAGCAAATTGCCCCCTCCTCAAGAAATCTAGTAGTTTTTACACATATCGAATTTATAATCACTGTTGTTAAATAATTTTGAACACAATTACTATTTTACCCACACACCCTAATTCTTTATTATAATTTATATGTAATAGAGTGAAATAAAAAAAATATAATAGACCATATTTGGAATTAATCCCGTTTTTATTTTTTACATTTTTTGAGAAAGAAAAAATAAAAACGTTTTTAAAATGACGTTTGACGCAATAAAGATAAAAAATAGAAATGAAAACGATTTTTTAGTTTAGTGTAAAATGAGAGAGAAATGAAAAATGACTAGTCATTTTTCATTTTTTGTTTTTATTTTCTCCTCTCTCGAGCATAGGGAGACAACAAAAGACATTAATAAGTTTTTTTACATTGAAAATAATCTCTTAATAAAACTACCAAACATATTTTCAAAAATAATTTCTGTCTGAGAATGAAAACATTTTTATTTTTATTTTTATAAAAAAATAAAATTATTTTAAAACGAGTTCCAAACATGTGACCTATGTGTTACTCATGTCATAAAAAAAAGTCCTTTTTGCCTTCTGTACCAATAGTAAGATTGGGCGTTACTGTTACCGAGTCTTTAGCACGAACGAAACGAGAAACAACTAAAAAATGACGTTTGGTTGGAGGATTCAAACCATGTGATTTGAACTATTTTCGATTTACGTAAATTTTTTGTGAAAAAAAATACTATAACAAACTATAAATTATAATTCAAATCAGAAAAATAATTCCTCTACCAAACATCCTCTAAAACCATCCATTTCGTAGCACCAAAAACAAAAAAAAACAAAAAAAACAAAAAAAAAAAAACCATCCACATCAGAGAAAACGCGGTTTTTTGGTCCCTCAATCCTTGCAATATTATTTTCTCAAAAACCATCCAAAATTAAAAAGAAAAAAAAAGTCTTTTACAATGACGACAGTGTAATGTTCTTCTTCTTCTTTGCTTCAACCACCTCCAAATTCCATCTCCTTCTTCGATCCTTGACCTCTTCCTCTTCGCCTTGTAACCAAAGCTTTTTCTGTCAAATTTATTTCTGGGTTTCTCCTTTTCTCTCTCTCTCTCTCTCTGTTTTTTTTAAGAAATAGTTTTGTTTGCTTTTGTTCGTCGCCGAAAATGGGTTGTTGTTCAAGCAAAAACGCGGACTCGAAAGCGAACAGGATCACACGGTGGCGATCCACTGGAATCGTCGCTCTTCGTGACTCCAAATTGAAGGCAATTTATCTCTTTGATTTCACTTGTGTAGTTTGTTAATTCTTCTTGCCTATACACACACACACACACACACACACACACGCACGTATGTATATGTATATGTATTTCTCTTTCTTGTTTGACTTTTTGGAAGAATGAGTGATTGCATTGCCTTTGGTTTGAGTTTGGAAAAAATAGGTCTTTAATGATACTTGGGGGAAGAGGAAATACTGAATGCTCAATGCAAACTAAACTGCTTAATTTGATCATTTTTCTTATCAAGCAAAAAATTGAAATTCATGGGCTGGTCCTTTAAAAAAAAAAAGGTTTAAATCAGGTTAATTTGTAGATTTTTTTTTTTTTGCATTTAGGATATTACTCTTTTTAAGTGTTGAAAATTGCAATCTTTAAGTGTTGTTATTATATATAGTTGGTCAGTGGACCTTGCTCTCAGGGGCTGAATTTTGTGAAGCTTAAATGTAGATGTGGTAATTTGAGAGGAAAAATTGAAGGAAAAATTGTATTATTGCATGACAATTACAACTGGTTTATATACAGGAGTCCTAGCCTTTAGAAACGGCAATCACATTCCATAATTTGTGGGATATTACACTAAAAAAGGAAACTAACCAAATCAACCTAATTCTAGGGAAACTAACTACTATATTCAAACTTTCCTAATTTAGTCTATACACGTGTAAAACACATTCTTCCACACTCCCCCTCAAGCTGGTGAATAGGTATTCACTATTCCCAGCTCGGATACAAAACTCTCAAACACTGAACTACCTAACCCCGTGGTGAGTATATCAGCAAGTTGGCCATGTGTAGATACATAAGGTGTACAAATCAGTTCACTATCCAACTTTTCTTTGATGAAGTGTCTGTCAATCTCGATGTGCTTCGTTCGATCATGCTGCACCGGGTTGTGAGCTATGCTGATTGCAGATTTGTTATCACAATAAAGTTTCATAGGGCCGTCCCACGTAATCTTCAGATCCTCTAGAACAATCTTCAACCATAGTAGTTCACACACACCCTGAGCCATTGCTTGGTACTCTGCCTCTTACTCCCCCATGTCACCAGGTTTCCACCAAGGAAAGGTGCAATAACTTGAAGTTGATCTTCTATCAACAACTGACCCAGCATAGTTAGCATTTGTGTATGCCTCAAGAACTAACCCTCCATTCCTCTTGAAAAGGATGCCTCTACCTGGTGTCCCTTTGAGATATTGCAAAACTCTGTATGCCACCTGCAAATGAACTTCCTTTGGATTGTGCATGAACTGACGGATCACACTCACCGCATACGCTATATCTGGCTGAGTGTGAGAAAGATAAATGAGTCTCCCCACCAACCGTTGATACATCTCTCTATTCACCATAGCATCTTCTTCTGCCTCTCCAAGCTTGAGATTCAGTTCTATTGGAGTACTCACTGATTTGCATGCTGTCTTACCGGTTTCTTTGAGTAGATCTGTAACATACTTTTGTTGAGAGATGAAAATGCCTTGCTTAGAATGAGCCACTTCAATCCCAAGGAAATACTTCAATCTTTCTAACGTCTTGATCTCAAATTCCTTAGCCAAACATTGACTTAGAAGTTGTCTCTCCCTATCATCATTACCGGTCACAATTATGTCATCAACATACACCAATAGGGCTGTAACTTTACCTGAAGGTGAGTGTTTAATGAACAAAGTGTGATCTCCTTGACTCTGCCTATATCCCATAGCTGTCATTACTCTAGCAAACCTCCCAAACCATGCTCGCGGTGATTGCTTAAGTCCATACAAGGACTTTTTTAGTCTACATACTGTACCAGTAGTCAACCCTTTATTATAACCCGGTGGAACTTCCATATAAATTTCCTCCTCCAGTTCTCCATGCAAAAATGCATTCTTGACATCAAACTGCTGCAAATCCCAATCACCATTAGCTACTAGTGACAATAAAACTCTAACAGTGTTCATCTTTGCAACCGGAGCAAACGTTTCTTGATAATCAATCCCATAGGTTTGAGTATAACCCTTGGCTACCAACCTAGCCTTGTATCTTTCTATTGATCCATCTGCTCTATATTTTACCGTGTAAACCCATTTACACCCTACGGGTTTCTTTCCTTCAGGTAACTTCACTAACTCTCAAGTTTTGTTCTTCTCCAACGCCTCCATCTCTACATTCATGGCTTGCTTCCATTTTTCATTGGTTAAAGCCTCGGATAAATTGACAGGGATGGCAATGGTGTTTAAGCTGACAAGGAAGGCTTTATGGAATGGTGAAAAGTGTTTAAAGGATAGGAAATGTGCAAGAGGGTATAGGGGTCGGTTTGTGCATTCTCTAACTCCTTTCCTGATAACAATAGGGAGGTCCTGGTCATCATTGTTTATCTCAGATTCAGATTGAAAGAAGGATTAGAAATTGTTACCTCATTCTCAGGATTTAGGTTGGAGTCTTGGACTTGCACAGATTCAGGGACAACCTTCTTCCTTCTCGAGAACACTTTACCTTTGCCAAATCTTACACTATCAAGGGCCGGATTTGTAGGTGGGTTTACAGGAGGCTCGGGATATGGATTTTCAGTGGGCTCAGTGGGAGGAACATTTTCAGTAGGCTCGGTAGAAACATCCATGGGACTAGGCTGTCTTGACACAGGAAGTGGTGAAGATGGCAGATCAAGAAGCAAAAAATCTGCCTTATCCTTATCTTCCATTATTGAATTCTCCCCCTGAAGATAAGGAACAGTGAAATAGGATTCTTGTTCATGGAAGGTCACATCAGCTGAGACATAGAACCTTTTGAGTTGAAGAATATCCCACAAACACGCATTTTAATGCCCTTGGATCTAATTTTCCTCGGTTCTTATTATGAACATGAACAAATGCCACACACCCAAATATGTGAGGAACAAGATTATTTGTGGTGTGTAGGTTTGGATAGGACTTGGAAAGGACATCCATTGTACTTTTAAATCCTAGGACTCTAGAAGGCAAACAATTTATGATATGGGTGGCTATAAGAACCGCTTCTCCCCAAAAAGATTTAGGCACATTTTTCTGAAACAAGAAGGATCTTGTTGAATCGAAGAGATGACCATTTTTCCGTTCTGCTACTCCATTTTGTTGTGGAGTGCTCACACAAGAGGACTCATGTACTACTGCTTTCTCACGCAAGAGGACTCATGTACTACTGCTTTCTGAAAGTATGGAGTTAGGACTTGATTGAAATAGTCCTTAGCATTATCCGACCTAAATCTTTTAATATTGACCCCAAATTGAGTCTTTATCATAGAACAAAAATTTGGAAGAACAGTGCTGACATCGGATTTCTGTTTAAGCAAAAGGATGTACAATCATCAATGAACGACACAAACCATTTAGCTCCATTTACATTGGAAATAGTGGAAGGACCCCAAATATCACTCTGAATAAGATCAAAAGGAATGGAACTTCTTTTATTACTGATTGGAAAAGATACACGTTTGTGTTTAGCAAGTTCACACACTTCACAATGAAAATGTTCAACCTCTAGACCCTTAAATAAAGAAGGAACAAAAGTTTAATAATCCTAAATGATGGATGTCCAAGTCTGCGATGATGAAGCCAGACTTTTTCTTTATTGGATGAAAAAGACTCTGAGACAGGAAGATGAGATGTTATGCCCTTGGTAGTGTTGGATCGACTTGGTGTTTCGAGATAGTAGAGCCCATCCCGTTCTCTAGCATGTCCAATCATCCTCCTCGAATCCTTGTCCTGAAATACACAATAACTATGACTTGATTTGTGATTAGCCTAGGGACGTGAAGAGTATTTTTTAACAACAGTGACAGGCTTATCTTGATGTCACCTATGCTCGCCACAGTAGTTAATGATCCATCGGCTGTGACTATTTTCCTATTACTTGGACATGGGGTATATGAGGAAATTTTTTTTGATGAATGGGTCATATGGTTGGTAGCTCCCGAGTCAAAAATTCAGGAGCTGGTAAAGGTATCCGAGACATTTAATCCAATGGAGAAGGGAAGTTTACTTGAATATGCCAGTGAACAAGTACCTGATGGTTTTTCAAGATTGCTAATAAGTGATCTCACCCTTTCAATTTCTTCTTGGCTGAGATTTCCCATCTCTTGTGATGTCCCTTCACGCGGCTGCACTGCTACAATCTGGGCTCGTCCATTGTTCCTCAGTTGTTCTCCTTTTTGTCCCCACTCGCGACTTGGTGGTTTTCCATACAATTTTCAACACCGATCACGAGTATGACGTGCCTTCTTGCAGTAGGTACACCATAGAGTGTCTTTGTAGTCACGGTTTTGAGTCTTTGGTTGGCTGGTCCTCCCATTCTCGACCGCTGGCACTTTTTCTGCATTTGTGGCTGTCTTGTTGCTGTTACTAGCAACTAAAGCCAAACTGTCAGTCCCCTTTGGTTCAAGCATCAATTCACCGCTACGTTCTTCTCCTCGGATGAGTGCCACCATTGCATTGAAACTTGGAACTTCTTGTTTGCCAAGAATCTGAATTCTAACTAAATCAAATTCTGGATTGAGTCCAACAAGGAAATCATAAACTCTATCTTGTTCAATAAACTCCTTCAAAATTGCTGCATCATCGGGACACTTGGTCTTAATCACCCTATAATGATCAAGTTCTTGCCACAGAGCCTTCATTTGATTGGCATATTCAGTGACAGTCCTATCTCCTTGTTTTGCAGCAATCGTCTTAACTTTGACTTCGTAGACTTGGGCAGCATCCTTTGCCTTGGAGTACGTTTCTTGAATTGCATCCCATACATCCTTGGCAGTGGCCAAGAACATGCATGTATTGCTATTCTCCGGAGTCATGGAGTTCCATAGCCATGCCATGATCATCAAATCCTCCTCATCCCAAGCTCCAAATCATGGATCTTCCGGTTTTGGCCCTGTCCCTAAGATGTGGCTGATTTTTCCTTTCCCTTTCAGCATAGTCCTGACAAGTTGGGACCATTTAAGATAGTTTTTTCCATTCAGCATATATGCGGCCTGAATGTTCTGCAATTCCCCGGCTTGAGGCCTAACGATTTTTGCATCCTCTGACTATATCGTAGCTGTTGTTTCTGCCACCTCTGACATCCTCAATCAAACCAAGCAATCCCAAGGCAATTAAGGCCGGTTGAGTCAAGTAAAATATCAGCGATGATGGTACAATTCAGGCACTCTCTTACGAAAGCTTCCTGGCAGTAGTGGCGGCAGGGCAGGAAATAGGGGCAGTTCGGGTGTCCGTACAATTCCGTACAACCGTGCAAAAAACCGTACAAAGTGGTAGGTCAAAAGTTGTGGCAGCGAATCAATGGAACTTCAAAAAAACAGAATCAATGAGGCAAAAAATAAAAAAGGTGGCAGTGACACAAAACAGCCCTTCAGCAACAGAGTAGAAAAACAGAGAAGGAACCCTTGGCGATGAAGCAGGGTTTCAGAAAACTCCTCGGCAACAGGACAGAAAAAAGAAAAGAGAACCCTGTGATGAAGGCTAGGGTTTCAGAATACCCCCTCGGCAGTAGGACAGAAAAAAGGGAACTCTTGGCGATGAAGGCTAGGGTTTCCGTTCCCAGAAAAAGAGCCTAAGGCTCTGATACCATGTGGTAATTTGAGTGGAAAAATTGAAGGAAAAATTGTACTATTGCATGACAATTACAACCGGTTTATATATAAGAGCCCTAGCCTTTAGAAACGGCAATCACATCCCATAATCTGTGGGATATCAAACTAAAAAAGGAAACTAACCAAATCAACCTAATTCTAGGGAAACTAACTATTATCTTTAAACTTTCCTAATTTAGTCTATACACGTGTAAAACACATTCTTCCATAGTAGATAATGGAACTATTATGCTTAAATGAACAGTATGACTTTGGGTTGTTGAAATTAAAGTAGTCATTTTTAATTGATTACATCAAGAAGAGTGTTGAACTATATTGTTTTTGTGTACTTATTGTAAACCAACCATAGTTTATGCGCAAGGTGCTTCTTCTTTATTTTATTTTTTATTTTTTTCCCTTTAGAAGCGTACAGTGTCCGCGCTTTGATTAGAGGAAAAGCTTAACGCAAGCTCGAGCTTCATTAGTACAAATTGTTATGAAATTGCGGACTGCACTAATCTTTGTGAAATTGTGTCTATAAGGCTTTTGATAGGCTTTTCCTTGTTGTTATGAAACAGACATTTCCAGATGAAGTCCTCAATCTAGAGAGATCAGTGCGGACTCTTGATTTAACCCACAACAAAATAGGTATGCTCACCAATGTTTTCTTTCCCGAAGTGACTAATGAAGTGATTTAAGTTAGCGAAAAGAATCAGTTTTCTTTCCCGGTCTTTTCTTGACCTTATTAAAATTGTTCTCAAATAGTAGTGAGAAAATTGATCACCAATGTTTCCATCCTCTATAGATTGCAGATTTGAATGAATTTTGTCATAATTTATTTCTTTTTGTTTTTGCACGCAGTTGACATTCCTATGGATATTAACAAATTATTAAACATGCAAAGACTGGTAAGTAGCTTTTATTTACAATTACCCTCCACTAATTCTGCATTAGTTTCTATGGAACTGAAGTGATTTGCTTCTAAAGTTTGGAATACTCACAATTAGTCACAGTAAATATGGATACCATAAAATACAATAAGGTATATAGTATATAAGAATGTTGTCTTGCCATATTTGAGGAAATAGATCAGTGCTCTAGAGAGAATATATCAAGAAAACCGAATAGAGCAACCTGTTGGTCTATTTACCAGAAGACATACGTACATAATCCGCACCTTTTATGCTCAAGTGTTTCATGATTTTTAGCAGACTTCTTTTTCACATTCTGATTACTGATCATAAGCATCGCTCAATTTTGTTTCCCTAGGCCCCATGTTATTATTTTCTCAAAGTTCACTGAATTACAGAGAGTGAATTTTAGTCATGTTGCTCAACTTTTCAGGTTTTAGCTGATAACCTCATTCAGCATCTACCAACAAATCTGGGGAAATTACAGTCTCTAAAGGTTATGACACTTGATGGGAACCGTATTTCTTCCTTGCCTGATGAATGTAATTCTCTTCTTTAAATAAGTAAGAGGATCTTTTAACAGATGGAGTTTCTTTTTTTTGATATTTTTGTCTGCTAACCACTGGGATTCTTCTTCATCGTCTTTTTTTCCCCCTGATGAAGTTTCTTCATGGGTTTGTAACTAGACGCTGTATAATGTTGCAGTTGGGCAGCTGGTGAGGCTCGAACGCTTTTCCATTTCAAGGAATTCCTTAGAATATTTGCCCGAAACTATTGGCAGCTTGCGCAATGTAAATATTTCTGTTTTTCTTTTTTTGGCAATTTGTGCATTTGAACAGTGATTCTTCTTTCCTGTTTCGCCGTCTCAATGAGAAGTGATGTTGTTGATTTCTGAGTTAAGTATCATAATCATTGATGTTCTGGAATTTGGCTCAAGGACTTGGTACCAAATAGGATTTCCTGCTCCAGTAAAGGGTAGGATTTCGGGCAAGTTTTTTCTGCTTCTTGCAAAACATTACTGACCTAAAAAGGATATCTGTATTTTTGCGGTCAAAGTTTTTAGCTGTTCTAGTTTAAACTCTATATAACAACACAAACTTGTTTCTCTCTCTACTACTACTCGTGTTTTTTCTATTTGTCATACGATTTTGTAACCTGAGTCTGGGCTTATTCTCCTTGAAGGGGTAAATGATACTTTTAGGAGAAAAGTTGGGGTTGTGCTGGGAAAATTTGGTTCTCAAATGATCTAGTAGGCTAAAACGAGAACATGTGCTACTACAATGATCGGCCACTGATTAGAAGCTTGTCAGAAATTCAGTTATCTATACTCATCAATGACAAAAAAAATTTTCCTTCGTTGAAAATTTTTTATTTGGGATGTTAAGTTTAGCCTTTATTCTGAAAATCCATAATTTGACATCACATGTTTGATGATGCAGTTACAGCTTTTAAATGTGTCAAATAACAAGTTAAAGTCTCTTCCAGACTCGATTGGTAGTTGCTTCTCATTGGAAGAACTACAAGCAAATGGTAAGCTTCAATTTTGAAATAACACAGAACCTGGTTAATGATCAGTGCAATCACAGATTCGTCATTCTGGATAACTTTTCAGATAATCTTATTGAGGATCTTCCTGATTCTATCTGCAATCTCATTCACTTGAAGTCTCTTTGCTTGGATGATAATAATGTGAACCAGGTATGTGTTTCATGTATTATGTGTTTCATATATTCAAACGTCACGTCCTTTTCACATGGATGTTAGATGCAATGCCTTTTTTGTTTTTTTACTATTTATATTTATTTATTTATTTATTTTATTTTGCATGCGTCCTGCCCTACTTTTCGTTGAGACTGTACAATAGTTATTACAATGTGAGCCTATGATGGCTATACATAGGCACAGAAGCCCAAGGCAAAGCATAACTCCATTCCTAACTAGTATATTCAAAATTGACTCTTTATGAAGTAATTGCTATTTGATTCAATACGAAGTAATTGTTATTTTCTAATTAATGAGGATTTCTTACCCTCTTTCCTTTGTATTGATTTTATTATCAATGAAACAAAATTTTGTTATTAAAAAAAAAAAGCAGAAGAGATTGTGGGTCCACTGATAAAATTAGTGATTCTTTGTGGTTGACAAATCTCACATCCACAGCCCCTTGTACTACTGAGTCAAAGTGTTATTTTTAAAATTTCCTAGTCGCCTTTTGTGACCGGAGATGCCTGTGTTAATATTATAGTATTGTATTGGACAGATACCACCAAATATATTGAAAGATTGTAAAGCTCTGCAGAATATTTCTCTGCATGGAAACCCTATTTCAATGGATCAGTTTCAGCAGGTATGCAGCAATTTCCTCGAAAATAGTTTATTTTACTCGAAACTCCTTTCGTTATAATAACGCTTATTGTAGGAATATTTGCTTATTACCAAATATCAATCATTCCATATATGGAATGATTGACTTGTTATATTTCCCGATTACTTTGGGAAGTTAACAAGATTATGATGTATAGCAGATTTTTAGGGATGTTAGTTTCTAGTTTCCCTTTTCTGTAGAACGGACCTTTGTATATATATGTGTTGTATCATTCTCTAAATGATATTGAAGAAAAGTCATTCTTCCATATTTACTTTTATGGTATCAGAGCCATACACTCAAAAATATTCTGTCTTCTCATCTTCATCGTCTTGATTGTGGTTCTCACGACAATGAGTTCAGAGAAGGAGACAACCAATTCTAATAAGGATGGGTCATCATCAACCACATCCGACCCAGTCACATCGTCCATGGTTGTGCAGTCCTTTGGAGAGGGATCGTCACTGCAGATCACGAATCACAAGTTGAATGGCAAGAATTTCCTCCAGTGGTCCCAATCGGTTTTGATAGTGATCCGAGGGAGAGGAAAAATTGGCTACATCACAGGCGAGGTTCGGCGTCCCAATACGACGGATCCGACCTACGAAAAATGGGAACTCAATAATTCCATTGTTATGGCGTGGCTAATTAACTCAATGGAGCCGCATATCAGCGCACCTATTTGTTTCTTCGCACTGCCAAGGCCATCTGGGAACGCTGTCAGAGAGAATTATTCGGATCTCAAAAATGCCTCGCAGGTTTTCGAGATAAAGAATAAACTTAAGGATAGTCGGCAAGGGAATTTGGATATCACTGAATATTACAACGTGTTGCAGACTCTATGGCTAGAATTGGATATGCACTATAAGGCGGACTGGGGTGACCTGGAAGGCAATGTAAAGTTTAAAAGACATCTAGAAAAGGAACGGTTGTATGATTTTCTAGCTGGGCTCAACAAAGAACTTGATGAGGTATGAGGAAGAATTCTAGGCCGGAGACCACTACCTTCCATCGGTGAAGCTTTTGTAGAAGTACGTCGTGAAGAAAGCAGATGCCGAGTGATGCTTGGGGGACAAAGGGACTCGCCTGTGGTCTCTATAGGTGAAAGACCTGTTGAGAACACTGCTCTTATCACGAAAAGTACTGTTAACCGACCTTATGGTGATAAAAAATTGAATCAGCGCCCACGATGTTCTCACTGTAACAAACTTGGCCACACCCGAGAACGATGCTGGGACCTCCATGGAAGACCTGCCGATGCAAAGCCAAGGAAACAGCCTCAAAGCAAGGGGTTTTAAGCTGCTACAGAGGAAAAAATAGAGGACACCAGCAACAGTTGTTCATCAAGGTATTGCCCTTCATGTAGAAAATCAAACTCCTTGGATATTTGACTCTGGCGCATCCGATCACATGACAGGTAACTCATCTCTTTTTTACTCCTATACTCCATGCCATGGGAGCTCAAGAGTAAAAATAGCAGATGGAACCTTCTCTTTTGTTGCTGGAAAAGGATCTATCCGCTTGTCCGACACACTTGTGCTACATTCTGTACTCCATGTTCCAAAATTAGCATGCAACCTGGTGTCTATTAGCAAGCTCACTCATGACCGTAATTGCATTGTTAATTTTTCTGTTACTTATCAAATACAGGAGCAGGGATCGGAGAAGATGATTGGTATTGCTAAGGAGTATGGCGGACTCTACTACTTTGAGAATGATGAACATGTGGATGAACATGCTACAATAGTCGAGAATATTTCTTCTACTTCCAATAAAGATGTAATGATGTGGCATTGTAGGTTAGGCCACCCTAATTTTCATTATCTCAAACGTTTGTTTCCAGATTTATTCATTAATAAAAATCCCAGTTCCTTTCATCGTAACATTTGTCAATTGGCCAAACACACACATACATCATATCCAGCCAAACCATACATAGAGTCTCATCCATTCACCTTAATTCATAGTGATATATGGGGGCCTTCTCACGTAAAAACTATCACGGGAACTAGATGGTTTATTACGTTTATCGATGATCATACTAGAATATGTTTGGTCTATCTTTTTAAAGAAAAAACCGAGGTTTCAAAAATCTTTCAAAATTTTCACTCCATGATAAAAAATCAATTCCAAACCTCAATTAAAGTCTTGAGGACCGACAATGGAACATAGTATTACAAATCCATCTTAGGTGATTATCTAGCAACTAATGGTATCATTCATCAGAGTTCTTGCACTGATACACCACAGCAAAATGGTGTAGCAGAAAGAAAAAATCGTCATCTACTTGAAGTTGCTAGAGCCCTAATGTTCACGATGTATGTTCCAAAATATTTCTGGGGCAAAGCCATCTTAACAACCTCTCATCTTATAAACCTTATGCCATAAAAAATCCTCCAATTCAAAACCCCTATGTCTGTTCTTCCACAAACCTACCCAATGTTTCGATCTTTCTCCTTTGTTCCCCTTAAAATCTTTTGTTGTACAGCATAGGGGTGTTCATCGGTTTTTAACCGACAATTTTGGTTGGTTTCAAAACCGAACTGATAATGTTGGTTTTTGAAAATTTAAAACCGAAACCGAATCGAAGAACAATGTCTTCGATCGCTTAACCGACCGATTTTTATCAGTTTTTATCGGTCAGTTTTTGATCGGTTTCTTACTTAAAAAAATTTGTGAACTATTTTCTTCTTAAATTTTAACCATTCAAATATTTAATATTTAAATAGTTAAAATTAAACAGAAAAAATGGCTTAAAAGACAAAAAAAAATAAAACCTAAAAGAATGTATCCTTAAGGACTAAGGCTTTACATCTAATCTCAATTAGAAAACTTATTTATATTGAAGTCCGTCATATTATTGAAGATAGACGTTCAAAAGAAGTTAGACCTCTCTAACTTGTAAGTTGTGATGGAGAAATGAAATATATAACCCTTTATATAGAATAGTTGAGGAAAGACATTCTCATCTCTTTTCAATGTGGGACTTTCAAAAGTCTGATGTGCTTAAATTTTCAAATGCATCAGTCTTTTAATAGTCTCACATTGAAAAGAAATGAGAATGTCTTCCCTCAACTATTCTATATAAAGGGCTATGTATTTAATTTCTCCATCACAACTTACAAGTTAGAGAGATCTAACTTCTTTTAAACCTTCATCTTTAATAATATAATGGACTTATATTCACCATCTGCAAAATTATAGATTCGAATATATGGATAATAACTTTTTTTTTAAATTGGTCGGTCGGTTTAGTTCAACCGATCACTTTGGCTGGCAAAACCGAAACCGAACCGCTGAATTTTCGGTTTTTTTCGGTCAGTTTGGTAGTTCGGTGTTGGTCGGTTTCGGTTTTTCAGTTTTTTTGAACACTCCTAGTACAGCATTTGTTCATGTTCACTCACAAAATCATTCAAAACTTGACCCAAAAGCAACCAAGTGTGTTTTTATTGGGTACTCTTTGACACAGCGCGGGTATAAATGCTACTCACCCTCTCTTCGTCGTATGTATGTGTCAATGGATGTTACCTTTCATGAAACTCAACCATATTTCCCTATGTCCCATCTTCAGGGGGAGATTCTAGAAGAAGATGGATCTTGGGAAGAATCTGATCTTCAAACACCCATGTCCTTACCACTACCTACTTTACCTACCTCTAACCGAGCCTATTATGCCACAACTTGACCAAGGAAAAATATTGGAAACACTACCTACTTTACCTAGTCTAACTGAGCCTATTATGCCACAACTTGACCAAGGGAAAATATTGGAAATAGGGGGAAACAACTCAGTGGGAAATAACTCCAAAAAACCCCAGTTGCTTGTTTATTCACACAGGAATCGTTCTCAAGGTGGTAGTAAGCCTAATGCCCAGCAAAGTCAGACGTCTGAACCGGTCCCTCTCCCAGGTACCGAGCCTACTAGTAGTCCTGTTGATGCAGACTTGAGCAACAATTCAGATGTGGATCGGCCTATTGCTTTCATGAAAGGTACAAGATCATGCACACAACATCCAATTTCAAAATTTATCTCATATGAGAAATTATCTCCCAATTTTTCAGCCTTCATTACTGCTCTAACAAATGTTAAGATACCAAAAGATATTAAGGAGGCTCTCGCAGATCCAAAGTGGAGATTAGCAGTTCAGGAAGAAATGGGAGCCTTGGAAAAAAACGGTACGTGGGAGATTGTGGAGTTACCTAAGCAGGAAAAAAACTGTGGGATGCAAGTGGGTATTTACAGTCAAGTTTAATGCAGATGGTTGTGTCAACCGATACAAAGCAAGGCTGGTTGCCAAAGGCTTAACTTAAGCTTATGGTATAGACTACAAGGAAACATTTGCTCCCGTAGCCAAACTTAACTTTGTAAGGGTACTCTTATCTCTAGCTGCTAATCTTGATTGGTCACTTCAGCAGCTAGATGTAAAAAATGCTTTTCTAAATGGGGATTTGGATGAAGAAGTGTATATGGATTCTCCTCCAGGGTTTGAGAAGAAAGGAAAATTAGTGTGTAAGTTGAGAAAATCACTTTATGGCTTGAAGCAGTCTCCGAGGGAGTGGTTCGAGAAATTTACTCAAGCTGCGAAGGAGCGGAGCTTTACACAAGCACAATCTGATCGCACTATCTTCTACAAACATTCTAAGGGCGGCAAAAGAGCAATCCTTATAGTGTATGTAGATGATATACTTGTTACTGGAGACGACCAACTTGAGTTGGAATCATTAAAAGAGTATCTCGCTAGCAAATTTGAATTAAAGGATCTAGGTGCTCTCAAGTATTTCTTGGGTATGGAAGTTGCCAGGAGTAGTTCGGAAATCGTTGTTTCTCAGAGGAAGTATGTACTTGACCTTCTTCAAGATACAGGCATGTTGGGATGCAAACCAGCTAAGACACTTATGGAGCCCAATGCCAAGCTTGGACTTGAAGGCGGGAAGGAGGTTGATCAAGAGCAGTATCAACGTCTCGTAGGCAAGCTTATCTACTTGTCACATACTCATCCTGATATAGCCTTTGCGGTGAGTGTTGTTAGCCAATTTATGCACTCACCCAAAGAAAGACACCTTGAGGCAGTCTTTAGGATTCTGAGGTATTTGAAAAATACTCCTGGAAGTGGATTGTTCTTCAAAAAGGGTGATCACAAGGCTATGGAAGTCTATATCGATGCTGACTGGGCAGGTTCTTCAGTGGACAGAAGATTGACATCAGGGTATTGCACTTGTGTTTGGGGCAACTTAGTAACATGGAGAAGCAAAAAACAACTAGTGGTAGCTAGGAGCAGTGCAGAGGCAGAAATTCGGGCATTAGCACACGGTATATGTGAGGGGATTTGGCTTGGAAGACTACTGGAAGAACTAAAGATCTCTAGTAATTCTCCCATAAAGCTCTATTGTGACAACAAGGCAGCTGTTAGCATTGTCCACAATCCAGTTCATCACTATCGAACGAAACATGTAGAGGTGGATTGGCATTTTATTAGAGAAAAAATTGACAATGGGAGCTTCTGCATGACGCACATCCCAACCAAGGAACAGACTGTTGACATCTTGACAAAAAGTCTCCACAAACCGAATTTTGAAGACCTGGGGACCAAGCTAGGAATGACAAATATTTACATTCCAGCTTGAGGGAGAGTGTAAGAATAGGAATATTCGGTTATTACCAAATATCAATCATTCCATATATGGAATGATTGACTTGTTATATATCCCGATTACTTTGGGAAGTTAACAAGATTATGATGTATAGCAGATTTTTAGGGATGTTAGTTTCTAGTTTCCCTTTTCTATAGAACGGACCTTTGTATATATATGTGTTGTATCATTCTCTAAATGATATTGAAGAAAAGTCATTCTTCCAGATTTACTTTTACTTATCTTTGTGCCATGATTTTAAATGAAATTCTTACAGATGGAAGGATTCCAAGAGTTTGAAGCAAGGAGGAGAAAGAAGTTTGACAAGCAAATTGATTCGAATGTGATGATCAGCTCAAAAGGGCTTGATGAGGGTGTTGATCTTTGAGATTAACGCCTTTGAATTACAGTAAGTTCCATACCACCATCCCAATCATATTAATTTTGTCCAAGTACTGGTGTTATTGAATGATTTGAATAATTTTTTGTGTCCCTTCTAGATGGCTAGTTTTAGAATATTTATTTATTATTGGTATTACTATTTCAAGCATCTATTATCAACTGGTTTTGCTGGATAAAAGCCAATGGGATTTGGAACCAGTTTAAGCTTGTGGACAGTTAACTCTTAGCTGATGCAGTCTGATGCAGTTTCTTTCATGCATCATTGTCCATCATTGTCCATAATATATCAATACCTAAAGCCAATGTCCCACTCCTTGTGCTGAAAATACATTGTATTGTTACTTATTGCGCGCTAAAAATAAAAATGTCGGCGGAGCGGATATGTCTATGTCTGACTGATGCCCTGAAAAATGCTACACATCGAGGAAACAAATTGTTTGTTTTGGTTGAGACACAAGTCTATCCTTTCATACCACAAGTTCTAAAATCTCAAATGCACTCTTTGTAATTGGCTGGTTATAGCTCTATATATGTGTGGCACACCACTTCCTCAATTATGTTCCATTTGCATTCTGTACTGATCGATTTTACGTCGCATGAACAGATCCGATGACAGAGGTTGAGCACTCCATAGCTGTTTAAAAGCCAGTTTACGGCATTGTTTATTGGCAGGTTTTCGTTCAGAAGAACTCTTGATGTAGTTTAGGAATGGGAACGTTATAGATAATATTATTTGTCTGTACATGTTTTTTTTTTTTTTTGTTCTGTTCAGTATTTGCCTGTAACTGGCAAGCTGTATATGAGAACACTGCTTTAGACTTGTCCAAAGATGTTTATTTCTTCAGGAAATTTTCAAAGATGGTTCTTGTACACATTTAACATTAACAAGTTACTTCCTACTGGTTTCCAGCAACAACAAAAAAAAAATAATAATAATAATATGATGATGGTGATGATGATAACGATAATATAAAATAAATAATAATAATAATAAAAGTTACTTCTATTGGTAGAGGTAATTGAAATATGGAGAACGGATTACATTACAGAGTAAATACTGGATGAATAACTTTCTGAATAAATGGCATATGTTATTTACTCATTTATATTCCTAGCATCCTATGAATATGCATAGAATACTTCTATAACTTGTTCATAGCATGCTTCTATTTGATCAATCAGATAATTGAAAAATAAGAAAAGTAAACACTAATTTAATTCATAACAATTTCATATTCGTATGAATTATGAGACTAACCTATTATAGACTAAATTATCTCGGAAGAAGGTGGGAAATAGCATAATTTAGAGATCGGTAAAAACTAATAGCATAATCTTTAATGAGAGTTGATAAATAACATCATATTTGTAAATTCATATTTACCATCTTAGAAAATACCATAATTACCCCCACTTAACCTCTAATTAATGGGACGTTTGGTTTATGAATTCAGAATTATGATTCATGATTCTAATTTTTAAAATTTAAATTTTTTGTGAGAAAAAAACACTGTAAAGAATCAAGAACCATAATTCAGAACTAGGAACGAATTCTTGAAACAAACATCCCATAAATTTAAAATCTTTTTTTTTATATGTTCATTCTTAACATGGCATGTTTACCTACGCGTAATCCAGAATGAGTATGAATCGGAGTGGGCAAGATTCGAAATGAGTAGGATTCAGAATGAGGAATCAAAATCAGAATAAATTGTTTACTTAGTGACAAGATTCGGAATTATAGTCACTTCAAAATCCTTTCCTGCGTTTACTTATACCCAGAATCAGAATGAACTCGCATAAAAGTACTAATATACCCTTGAAGTCAATATATAATTTTAATCTAAAAAATAAATTGTATACTTATTATATTAAAATTAATCATAATTAAAATATTTAGTTTAATAATAGGGTAATATAATAATAAATATAAATTATACAATTATTCAAAATATAAAAATAAATTGACAAAATTTAAATAAAAGAAATAAATATAAAAAATAGTGTTAAAAATTAAAATATATTATTAATTTATTAAACAAAATAAAGTATATATTTATTATATTAAAGTTAACAGTAATTAGGCTAATATTATAATATTAGGCAAATAAAATAATAAATATAACTTGTAATTATTATTTTTAAAATTTTATTTTTAATTTTATATTTATAAATAAAATATGGGCATGATAGTAATTTAATGTTAATATCATGAATGAGAGTTTCAATCCCAAGGGGGCATGGGAATTCCAATTGCATTCCTCAATCCCAAATTTGAATGGGCCTCACTAATCTCACTCTCATTATAAGATAAAAAAAGAACAAGTAAATATGAGATTCTTCCATTCCCCACACTCATTCCTCAATCCTGATAAGTAAACATACCATAAATCCCCCAAATTTCTTCCCCACCTAATACATTCTCTCTCTCTCTCTCTCTCTCACCCCTCACGCTCACTTTCTTCCTCTTTCCTCTGCTTGTTGTCTCTCTTGCAGCTGACGGTGTCTGCAACACATGAACTGTCATTGAACTTCACGCCGCACCATCCTCCGCGTCATTGATCTTTGCATTGTGTTGATGTTGGCCATTTGTAAAGAGGTCCACTTTGTGGGACCCCTAATATAGTCGGGTTTTATACTCGTTATTCATACGTACTGCCCCATTTGAGCACCTAGCCGCTTTTTAGGGATTTCTTCGCATCCCTTAACACTTGAACTCAAGACCTCTTTTTTTATAAGGTTCTTAAATCAAGTGTTGGTACCACTCAAGGTGGACCCCATTGAGAGTTGAGGCGTTACACCATTATCCTCCGTGGCACCAATTTGTCTTTGTGTTTGTCTGTTTGTGAATGAAAATGGAGGTTCGTACGTAGTTCGTGTAGAAGAAAGAAGAGCAATAGAGAGCAGAGTGAGGGTGTGCGGGGCATTTTTTTTTGTTTTTTGTTTTGTTTTGTTTGTTTGTTTGTTTTTTTTTTTTTTGCTCAATTTATGTGATACTGGTAAATGTAATATAAGAAATGCTAGTGTCACTTTTTCTATCACTCTCTTTATCACTTTCTACATTCACTATTTGACACGTGAACTCTATTATCCCGTTTTCTGTTTAAATAATAGTGTAATATATTAGTCCACATGTTAAATAATAAATGCAGAAAGTGACAAAAAATAATGATATAAATAATAAACTAATATTTCTCATGAAATATTTACTTTGTACATAGTAAATTTACCAGTCAAACAGAGACTTTAATATTGTAAAAAAGTTATTTTTAAATAAATTGGTAATTTACATAGTAAAGTAAAAATTTACATGATAAATCTTATATTTATTTTTTTTCAAACAAAAAAGTAAATATATTTTTTAAAGAGAAAAGGTAAAACATTATTTGGCTTTTACTCCTGTAATTCACATGATCTATTTGTAATGTGATATATGCCGCAAAGTAAAGACAAGTCTAGCTTAATTTACTGATTCGAATTTTATTGATTTGAATATTTTTGTTTGAACAAAAAAATTAAACTGTGTGGTTTAAAATGTAGTTCAAATTGACATTTAGATGTACATTTAAAATTTTATTTGAACAAAAATAAAATTTAAATTTGTGTTTAGTTGGTGTAAAAAATATGAAGAGTGTATACTTTTTTATTGTTTAAAAAATAACTTGAACAATTAAATTTAAAAGGGAAGCTAAACTTCAAATTAAATAATCTAAGGCCCTGTTCACTTCACCGATTTGAGTTAGAATTTGAGTTTTGCTACAGTAAAAAGTTCTCAGAAACAGTCACATCTAACTTTTTTGTTACAGTAAAAAGCTCTCACATAAAATCACATCTCAACTCGAATTATAAACTCGAATCAGCAAAATGAACGGGCCATAACTCCATTTAAACGTCAAATATAATTTGAACTGCGTATTTATCAAATATAAATAAATTGTGTTTACTGTTTAAACTTAAACAGAGTTGAAGTAAGCTAAACAGTAAAACGAAAGAGCTAAGCGGTATAGCCACATGGCAAACGTCTCTCTTTAATCAAAGTTTATAAATTGAAATTTTACTAATAAAAAATTATCATTATAAAAAAAACAAAAAGTGCTACCCGATTTAAAATCCCAAATCTCAAACGAGGCCTCTTTTTGAGGATGCAGACGAGCTTTCGAGATGCTGAAGTGCTACCAGAGGTGCTACGGCCAGCGGCGACGGCGGCGGCCTTGGCGATGTCGGCCTCTTCTGCCGTTCAAGATCGATATCGACCGCTCCATTTGCTACCGTATACGGTGATTAGGTGAGGTCAAAATATGCGTAGGAGATTTAAGAAATCAGAGGTTCCAGTTCGGCGGAGTCGGTGGAGTTCGCGACCGAGTTAAGAAGAAAACTCCTCTTGCAAGACTTTTATACGACTTCTGAGATAGCCAAGATTTTGGGTTCTTTATAAATTCCAACATCATGCAAATAAATAACTACCCTATTGATTTTCGGTTTTTTTTAAAACTGATTTTCGGTTTTTTTTTTTTCCTAAGTAATCTGTAGAACAAAGCTAGGAGATGGCAGAAGGAAGGCAAAGGAAAGGAGACGGCAATTTTAAATAAAGTTAAACTCATCCCTGAACTCTTCTCTCTCGATTTAGGTTCGTTAATTTTACTAATTTAAGTATAAAATTTAAGTTTTATTATTGTAAAAATCTCTTAAAAATAATCACATTTAATTTTTTTATTATAATAAAATTTTTTTACTTAAAAATACATTTTAACTTAAATTAAAAACTCGAATTAACGAACTAAACGGACTATTAGACTCAGATTGACAGTGCTATAAATTTTAAAAAAATTATTGTTAACTGTGTTAAAAAAAACAATTATTATAAAAAATAGTTGAGTATTTAATAAACTGTAATTATACAAATATTAATTTTAATATTATAAGTATTATGAAAGTTTTATTAATTGTACTTGAAGGTAATTGTCGAACAATTTAAAAGTTAAAGTTGTTTTTGAGCTGTTTCTGATTTTAACTGTAAATTCTTCAAAAACTCTTTAAAAATAACTTTTTATGGTTTTTATAAAACACAAATTTTAATTGTGGATGGTTAAATAATTAATTTTAAGCTCTAATAATTACTATAAAATATACTCTTAATCTTTATAGTTAATTTGTTTTATAAACAGACTTGACTCAAAAAGAATCTCATAAATTGTTTTTCTATTAACTTTTAGATAAAAATCGTTGGTTTTATCTCATAAAAAGATCATAAACTATTTTTTATTTTTAAGAATAGTCCATATATTAAAAGTGTACTAAAATTTAATTCTTAAACTTAAAAAAAAAATTGCCAACATTAGTTCTTAAAATAAAAAAATACCAAATTTAAATTTTTTGCTACACATATTTAACTTTTTTTTAATCTATTTATTCACATGTGACATGTGTAACTTTAACTTTTTTTTAGTGATTATATTTGTTATATCGTATTAATAAATGTTCCTATATTATTATTATATGATAATAATAACTTTAAAGACGTATAATTTTAAAAATATCTTTTGAATTATTCTCATTTTAACCTTCTTATCTCTGAATTTGTCACTTTAATTTTTTTATTTTCTTATTAAAAACAAATTTCTCTAAAAAAATAAAATTACAATCTAATTTAATCCCAAACAAAACAAAAAGATGAAACACGACACATCCAAAATTCAACCAAGAAAACAATACTCATATATATCTTAACCATTCATTATAATTTTTCACGTCAAATTAAAGGGAAAAGGTTCTCTAAAAAAATAGTAAAAATAATTAATTGCAAACCACAATGCACAACACAACAAATTGTATCACACAATTATTTCATAACATTGTTTTATCTATTATAACAAAAAATAAAAAAGATATTATTGTTTATATTGGGTTATTTAGAAAGTTAATGCGTGTTAATAGAATCATTTTTTTTTGTTTTAATTTAGGGACTAAGTTTGGTACAACTTTTATATTTAATGTTTTTTTTTTACATCCAATGAAGTAATCTTGGCATATTGATTAAATTTAGTAGAGAGAAAATAGTTTAGGGACTTTTTGTGAGACAAAATTAACGGTTTCTATATAAAATTTAAGAATTTTTTTCAGTATGTCAACATATCGGTATGTCAGGTTTTTTGTTCGTCAAATATGTGTAAAATTACGTAAAGTCTAAAAGTACGTAGATCTAACGATTAAAAAATTTGACCTACCGATCAGGAAAATCTCCCTAAAATTTAATAGAAGACCATTAATGAGAAACTTTTTGAGTTCAGAGATTATTCATAAGGGATTAATTGTACAAAGAAAAAAAAATTCATGGACTATTCATTAATTTAAACTCTTTTAAATAAGGTAAAAGTTTTTTTTTGTTTTTTGTTTTTCCATTTGTTTTTGAAATCTGATTATTTGGGGCCCCGCTTCTGTGAACACGTGGATTTCCAAATCATCCCTGCCCTCCAATTGCCCATATATATATATATATATATATATATATATATATATATGATTGATATTATGCAATTGCTCGAAAAGAAATGAAGGTTAGCTCAGGTTCTTCTCTCTACTGATTTGAAAGATATTAATAAATTTCTAAAGACGATAATGATTCTGGAAAAGAATATATATATATATATATCTCCTCTTTGTACGTCCATATATTCTGTATTGCGTAGAGGGTACCTCCCGTAATTACAGTCAAATACATGTCCTTTTTGGTTATTTGCTTTCGTGGACAATCTCTTACAAAAAAATCCAAACCCTAACTTGCCCCTTTTCCTCAATCGCCGCCACTCTTTTTCATCCAAATATTTTCTACTTCTATTCGATCTCTATTCCTCGTCTTCTTCCAAAATTGATCTTGTTTTCAATTTCTTCTCGTTTCCATCTTTCGATTGATTATATTTTCGTTGTTTTTTCGTTTATTATATTCGATTCTAGGGTTAGGGTTGCAGAAATTTCCGATCCGCGAAAACAATTGCAGATCCGAGAAATTCCTTTTGTTCAATCAGAGATTCATGGTTAGGGCTTTTCGTTATCGTTGCGAATTCTTCCCGATTTTGTAAATTATTTTGATTCTTTTTGGGTAGTTTTTATTATTCGAGAAATTGGGGCTTTTGCCTTTTTGGATTAAATTTGCTGGGGGGGAAGTCGTTATTTTCTTGAGAATTCGAGTTTTTTTCATCTATTCATTTGTCAATTCTAGCCATCAATTTCCCAGCCAGCGATTTGCAGATTATTCTTTTTGGGTAGTTTTTATTATTCGAGAAATTGGGGCTTTTGCCTTTTTGGATTAAATTTGCTGGGGGGGAAGTCGTTATTTTCTTGAGAATTCGAGTTTTTTTCATCTATTCATTTGTCAATTCTAGCCATCAATTTCCCAGCCAGCGATTTGCAGATTATTTCTGGGAGACTTTTTTGAGGTATAGATTTAGCCCTGGATAAATTTTCTATTTTCTATTTTCCATTTTTTAATTTTTTTTAGAGTGATTTGGGCCCCCATTTTAGCTAACTTTGGGCGCCCTCTAAAGGCAACGAAGGTTTGCTCATTTTACCTAATTGCCCTCGATTAGATAAAAGTCCATTCCTTTCGTTATTTTTAAAATATGTATATTTTTTCTTAAAACATGTATAATGTAATAAGACACTTATAATTCGTCTAAACATCTATATACATGTTTTTAAAGAAAATATACATGTTTTAAGAGAAAATATATACATTTTTTTTTAAAAAAATATACATGTGCCACTCAAATTCGGTACCGAATTAAAGACTTTACCTACATATATATTTATATATATTTTTTATTTTTTTAATGACTACCTATGACATTATTTATGGTAATGTCAAATTGTTTAAATTCCTTTGTTTAATAAGTTAATAGATTTCTTATTGGTATGTATTTTTTTTCCGAATTTAAGAGGCAGGGGATTCGAACTCTCGACCTCTGTCGGGGTAAACCTAAATTTAACGCTACGCTTAACCCAAAGTGTTACCATTTATTGAGATTTAGATGTAAGGTACTTTATTACAATATCTTGTTTTAGCCGTGGAATATATTTGTTACATGTATCTAACCAGTAGATTTACCCCTTCCCTCCCTAAAAAATAGAGTGTAGGTAATTAATTCTTTACTATTAAAATATTTGTGTATGATCGTACGTTACTTAGGGTTTGTTTGGGTTTTGAGTATATGTACCAAACAACCCCTTAGTCTATTGATGATTTTATTAGGGATTCGCGTATTGCATAATTGTTCACTTACTTGCTCTTTCTTCCATTTATAAGAAATAAGGCATTATAGTTTCTTTGTTGATAATGATTTTTGCTTAATGAAGTACTGTATACAAGTAAACATTGTCTGAATTGTCAATGCATTTTCTTATTTAAAGAAAGACTTAGCTGGTTCTTTTAACATCGGACCAAAGTGAACATTTTTGCACTTTTGTTTTGTGGTGTTGTTATTTTAATTATAATTTTTTTTTCTTTGGGACTGATTTCCATTTTGGCATTGCAAGCTTTAATAAGGATGGTACAGAAACGACCTTATGATGAGGAGGAAATTTTGAAGATTTCCTTCAAGCACCCAAGACAAGTGGAAGTGGAACACAACAAACAGCTCATCTCATTTTCAGACTCTGTTTTTCCTGAAGATGCTTTTGAGAAGCCAAAAACCTTAGGTGAGCAAAGTTGTGTCTTTACGGCAATAAATGCATTCACCGTGTGTTTGGTTCATTGGTTCGAACACAATTCAAACCTTTTTGATATAGTATTTTCTTTCACAAAAATTTGTACTTATTTTTGAACTTTCTGTTAAAATCAATGAACCGAAGTTACCCAAGTGGGTTCACCATGACTTGTTTGTCCTTTGTGCTTTTTAAAACAATACCTTATGTTTCTGGTCCGAACAACCTAGAAATTGAAGTGTACCTGCAAGATTGAATTGAATGTATTCAACATAATTTTTTTTAGTGTTCTATTATTTTAGCTTAGCTGGTTCCCTTTGCAGAAAAACATAGTTCCATCTCTTCACTTGAATGTAATAATTTTTTCTTGCTTTACTTTTGTGTAATTTGCTTTTTACTGTTTGACACATCTTTTACTTGTTTCTGATGGAGTTCTGTGGCTTAAGTAGAAAATTTAAATCAAAATCAATGCTCTATCTTGTAGTCTGGACCGTGCAATTTTGTAAATATTTGAATACCAAGCACATCAGTGTCATTCTTTGCAAATATCTGCACTTTTTAGTTATGACAAAGCATAATATTGAGTACAAAGGCAACCTAGTAAGACAGTTTCCTGTTTTAAGTTTTCTAAACTTACGGAGTTGTAGCATGTAATTATTAGAGAAAGGATTGACAAACGCGGGTACTGAAGTTGATAAGAAGCTTTCTGGTGACAATCTTACTGATCCTCCAAAAGGTGGTGAGGACATTGATTCTAGTGCACCTGGCTCCTTTTCCTTCTCATCATGGCCCACCAGCAGTACCGGTGAAGAGGATTCTCTGTCAGAGCCGCCCTTTCTCATGTCAGTTTTTCCAGAATATTATAGCCTCGAGCATCCAGTAAGGACATTAGCCCACTGCGAGGACATTTACTCACTACTTCTGAATCACCCTCCTCACAAGACCATTCCAATTGGACCAAATCATCAGGCTGATGTTCCATCATGGGATCAACAATGTGCCCGTAACATCTCAAGTCTTTCATGTCCATCCGAGGAAGTTTCAAAATCTGAAGTTGAGGAGGAAAAAAGGCTGATGGGTACATGCATCTTACCATTGCCTGATTTGGATTCTCCAGCATACCCTGATCTGAAAGTTGGAAAAGGTAGAACTGATTGCGATTGTGAAGAAAAGGGTTCTTTTGGCTGTGTTGGAAAACACATCGTCAAAGCTAGAGAGGAACTTCTAAAAACTTTTGGGGCAGAGAAATTTATGGAGCTAGGATTTGGTGACATGGGAGAACAAGTAGCACAGAGTTGGAGCGTAGAGGAGGAACAAACATTCCATCAGATAGTCTTCTGTCACCCGGCTTCATTGGGCTGGAATTTCTGGGACAAGCTTTCTGCCGCCTTCCTGTCCCGGACCAAAAAAGAGATTGTTAGCTACTACTTCAACGTCTTCATGCTTCGAAAGAGGGCTGAGCAGAATAGACATAACCCCACAAATATTGACAGTGATAATGACGAATGGGAAGGGGGTGATGATGACTCAGTTATTGACTCTCCTGTCAGTGAAGATGATACTGGCAATATGCAGAGCCGGGGCGCTAATTTGCTAGAGTGCAATGAGGATGTTGCTGTCACTGATGACATATGTGATGATAATGTCAATTTAGATTTGAATGCCCCGAAAAGCCCTGAAATTTCAGAAATGCGCCCCGAAAATCTCAGCAATTATGGTTCAAGCCCCAAATTTCTGCCTCAGGATACAACAGCTGACGATGAAAAAGGGGATCAAGAGGTCCAAGATGATTCTTGTACATCTTCTGAGACAGGAATTGCTGCGTTAAGGAACCAGATGGAGTCTGAAAATGGCATCTATTGCCCGAGTAGCTTCATCGGGTTAAGCAATCACGTGAAGTCTGAAAACGGTAACCATTGCCTGTGTAGACTTAGCAGCAGTTTAAGCGGAGGAGGCGACATTGGATACGTCTTGGAGCATTGTGAGGCTAAAGATTGTGATGTGGGATACATGACTTGCTCCAAAGACAAGGTTGACTTCTTGCCAACTTGCAATATGATTGAAGAGGTTTTCGGCCAAGAGATCCGGAATCACTGGGTCTGAGATGGGAAGAATTTAAGCTAGTGTTGCTATGGTGGTCTTTGCGGGATTCGAGTTGATTTTTGAGAGCCGCATTCAGGCTTTTTAAGTCCTCTCCCCACCAGAAAGCTTTCTCTTGGAAAATCTGAGAGAGTTCAGTTTTCCTTCTGTACATTGAATAAAACAGAGAGATGGAAGCCTTGCCTTCAGTGGAAGACTAGTGTAGTATGAGCCCATTATTTCGTTCCCATTTATATATGTTTTTTAGCTATTTTAGGATTGGTCACCTAAAAAAAAAATCTATTTTGGGATTGGACAATTGAATCCCATCTTATTAAAAAATACAATGAGGGGTTTTTATTTTTATTTTTATTTTTATTTTTATTTATTTTTATTTTTTTAAGGGTTTCCCTCTTGGGGGAGCTGGGATGGGTGATAAAAGATGCAGATTGAAAGAGATGGGACTCTGCCATGTAATTTTTTAATCTATTTTTGTTAGTGATAATGAAAGGGAGAGAGAATCATCTCATATATATTTCATGTAGAACATGTAGTGTCTGAATATTCATGCCTATATGAGTATATTGGATATTTTTTGACCAAGATTGTATGTGTGGTATGTGATATTAATAGTTCAATATTTCTTTATCGTGTTATTATTATTTTAACTCTTATAGTTATAATAAATTAGGTAGTTGATAAAAAAATTATATGACAATTAATGAGATTAAATTTTTATCATTTTATAAGGGTAATTATTAGGGTAATTATTGATGAAAACTAAAAACTTTAACAATTGAAAATTTGTCCTTGTATAGATATACCAGGCAAGAAAATTATCTTCAACTATTGCTATGCCATTCTAGTATGCACGAGACAAAGGCCCCGTTTGGTAATGATCCTAGACCAGCCAAAAGTGTTTTATAAACAAGTTTTGCATTCTTTTGTGTTCGGTAAAAAATTAAAAAAGTGCTTACAGAAGAAGTTCAGCTAGACACATTGCCGAAATCAGAATCCAGAGAAATGTAACTTCAGCTTTTAGTTTATATGGGAATTAGTCTTCCTCTCTTTAATGAATATTTTTAAATACCCAAAAGACCATTCATTTTATTTTATAATTCTCAAAGTAGCCAGACATAACTATTACTCTCTCTATGTGTTTATATATATTTTGATATGAAAAAGGTAATATGCTCCCGGTATTCATCAACGTTTCTTCTTCTTCCTTTTTTTTTTTACATTTTTTTTCTTTCTTAAAAACGCACAAACTTCAAACTTCTATTTAAATCGTGGCTAAAATTTCTCACATGATAATTATAAAATAAAATATGTCCATATAATTACATATAATATGTCCATATGTTTCAGCAAAAAATAAAAAAAAAATATAATGTCCATATATATATCAAACATTTCCTATAATGTCAATTTTGATCATTTTAAACACATACAATAATTTAACTCCATAATTTACTAAACACCATGATACTGCTTTTGGAACTAATAATAGTTTTAAGATTATAATTTACCAAATACTTAACTGTTTTATGTCACAACTGCTCCTTATTTCAACACAACTAATAATAATTTTTTTTTTAAATCTACAACATTATTAAACTGGCCAAAGACGAAGTAAATTTTAGAATTTCTATACACTTTAATTTTGTCGTTGGACTTGAGGTCTTTTGTAAACTTACTCAATGTTAAAGTCAAACTACAGAGATATTACAGGTTCATTTCGTTTTTCTTCTCCCAAAAAATAAAAATAAAAATAAAGTGTCGTTTTGAACCAACCAATTATGAAGTTTTGAATTGTTGTGAAAAAAAAAAAAGAAGATCAAATGAAAAACATTCTGCTTGTCCAATATTGATTCTTAAAGGCACTAGTTTCTGTAAAGTGCGACTTTGCAGCTATATGCAGCAACAGTACTACAGCACTGTTGAAATTATGTTGAATGTTCTTTGGAAAACATTGAACTTTCCACTTTCTAATTTCTGTCAATTGATCTTTTGAAACAAACAAAACTTTTTAGGACCAAATACTTTGTATCCATGCTGCTAAATAAGAGCACTTCTATTTGACCTTAAACTCGTACTATTGAGCCCCATTAATGAATTTTTTTAATGATCCTCTGTAGATATTCTATCTAGCTAAGACGATTTATTTTTATGATCATTGATTAGTATAGACTTAATGTAGATCTCATATTAATTAATAGTGAATAATGGACAAATATGTCAACTGTTTTAAGCACAATTTTATATCTTTTTGTAATTATTGATGAATTCTGACTTATATTAATCAATAGTAAAAGATGAATAATTGTGTGAGTCGCAGCTGTTCTTAACACAACTTACGTTTTATGATCATTGATTAACTTGGACTTTATATGGATCTCATATCGATCAACAGTGAAAGAGTATCCATCACAATTGTCTTTACCACAATTCTTAATTGTTATTACTTTTATTTAGCTAATGCATAAAAGTTTGAGTCTACATCTTCATATATCAAAATTTCTTACTTCGAAATTCTCTAAGTGAACCAACCTTATGGTCCCAATTCATTGATAAGAAGCTGCCAACCAAATAACTTCCCAACTTCACATGATCATGTTTAGTCACCCAGATCGCAGAAAATTCTTTGATCAATCAAGCTAGTTATAATAATGCAACAAAAGATCTTTGTGACTTTGAGTTTGAGTTCCAATTGGCAGCTAATGAAGAAGATTCTTCTTTGGTATTAATCTCAAAATAAAAAATAAAGATGAAATTAAACAATTTCTATTTTTTTTCTAATTAAAATTAACAATTACTTGATATCACTAGAACTTCCTCTAGATTCATACACGCATGTGTGTTATTTTCTGTATCAATGCAAGGTTTTGTTACATATCAAGAATTTAAGTTAGAAAAAGAAACATTAAATCTCGAACGTTATAGCGTGATAGTAGCGTTTAATACTGTCCATAAATAAAAGGTGAATTCTAGGATATATGGAGTTCACAAATAGAGTTTACATTATATTAATGGCGGTGTTTAGTACGACTGATCTCTCCAAACATTTCTTTTAAGCATATGTTGAAAGCAAGTAGGAGTTCACTCGTCTGTATTGAGCAAGCTATGATTCGGATCAGCCACCGAAAAAACGGAAAGGGAATTTGAGTTTTAGAGAGAAAAAGAGGAAAAAAAAAGGACCTCTATTAGTTATATTACATGGGTTCCGTTCCTAGTGGAATGCTTAGCTATTTTGTCAAAGAAAACAACAACAACAAGAGCCATTGTGTCTTTACATGAGCCAATCTTTGATTCTTACTTCCACATGGCTTTGGATAAGGAATATGCAACTATGCAAAGTAAAAAATCTTGCTTGGTGAACTAAAAGGCACCAACTAAACAAAGTTATGTAAGACTAATTAATAGTGCCAACTTCTTCCCAACCTAAAGACTAGGAAAGAAGTGTGGGCCTCACAACCATTTTATTAATATAGCTTTTTTTTTTTTTTTTTTTTTTTTTTCATTTTTTTTAAAATTTTTTTTTTTTTTTTTTTTTTTTTTTTTTTTTTTAAATTGAAGTTTTTCTTTGAGATTTGTTGACTCTTTCTTGAGTATGCCATAAGCATTGCCGGTGTACTTCTCACTTACACATGCACCATTATTACTCTTGTGAAGGAACACATGCACCTTTATGATTAAGCCATATATTAAAGATAGTGGATGTTGTGCTCCCTATATTTTATGGTATGTATGGATATCTATATACATGCGTATGTATGTATGTACCCCAGTTGCGAATGCATGTGCATACTCTTCCCATGTAATACACTAACATAAAAACTATTCATCATCTATTGGAAATACCTAGAAGCACTTCTATATACATTTGTCTGATATATATATATATATATATCCATATATCCATTATGAACTCTTATAATATATAACATCCCTACTAAACTTATAATCATAAGTTTAGTAAATTGTCCCTGAATTTAATGAGGTATTCTAGAGTGTTTCATAATGATGATGGAAGGATATGAAATTTCAGATGACAATAAAAGCGCATAATATCATGTATATGAGGATTTTTGTCTTTTGAATTTTAATACTATTTATCAATTTAGAGGCACTCTATAACATTTAATTTAATAAGACTAATTCCATCACTATAATAAGTTCACAAGACAACATGAAAATTCAGCCAAAGTTTCAGTTAACATAAGCGCCAAAAAAATCTATATAATATTACCACAGAAGTTGTAAAGAGGAAAAAAGGGTCATTGGAGAAACTTGTTTGCTGTTCCACTCAATTACATATATACATTTGAATTACATTTTCTCCTTTTGAAGGTAAGGATTTTAATTAATTTATAACATTGTACTGCCAGCAGTTGAGTAAAAGATGCTCCAACCGCCAAGGCTAGAAGGAGCTTCTATGATTTGAACAAAGCTTTAATATCAATATGCTTGAAAACAATGCAACAATCTATCTTTATTAATAATTTCATTCATGGTCTTTTTAATCAAAATATATATTATAACTGGTGTCGGCTCAAAACCCCACTGCCCAATTGATCAAAGTAACGGTTTGATTAAGTGTCACATGACAATGGATCAATTAAGAGGTATATATTGCTTTTGCTTCATGCAGTGATGCAAGGAAAGTGAAACGTGGCTCTCTATTGCATCTTTCATACTATTAATCACATTATTTAATTTAACTCTTTTTCACTCTCTTTCAATTCCATTTAGTGGACACGCCCTGAAAATGGCAGCATACTTTTTCATTTTTCCTTTTTGTGTTATCTAAAAGTGGGTGTTATGAAAAGAAATTTAAAGTATTCTAAAATTTCTTCATATATATATTAAAATATATGTAGGAGTGACAATACAAGTTACGACATAATAATAATATGATATGATTTTTTACAGATTAGTGTAAAAAAGAGTAAATAAATATATTGCGAGTCATTTTAATATCAACTCAAAATTGATCGATACGCGTATGTAATAATATGCACACATATGTGTACTTCAAGTTTACCTTTTGGAGTTCAATTAAGCTGAGTAAGTTGGTTGCTCAACCGCCTGTGGATAAATATTAAGAGGTATTTCAAAAGTTTTGTGAAATAAAAGCCATAGTAAAAGAACAAAGGAAGTATAGATACAAAGAAAGTAAAACAAAAAAAAAAAAATTAAAAAAATGTTTTGTCAACATACGATTCTCACCTCTACCCCTTTCAAGAATTCTAAGCAACAAGAGATGATTGTGCTTATACTCGACCTTTTGCATAATATTTAGTGGTAGTATCTCTAAAGCACTTGCATTATTTGTCCACTTAAGCTGCCGTATAAAGACCAAAGATATGTGTATTCATATATATCTTTATGTATAAGTCTATAAATTATGTTTAATGACTGAGAATTGCACAAATTTTTTAATGTGCGTGTATGTATGTGTATAGGTATGTGCAATCATACATATACATACACACACACACATATATATATATATATACACACACACACATATAAATACAAT